ATCACCTATCGGGATCTTCCAGTTGATACCCAGGTAATCCGCACACATCTTGGTGAGCTTCACCGTGAGAGCCTTGGATTGAAACGAGGAGCCATAGCCATTGCATGCACATCTTAGCAACAGTTGCTGTGTATGGATTTCTGCCCTACTCTTTTTTTCCTTCTCTCCTCACCTCCCACACAGTAGTACTGAGAATTATTTATATATATATATAAAAAAATAATCTTTGGCTGTTGCTCTCAGTGGTTTTGTGTTCTGCTGATGCTGAGCGTTCCTCTTTCTGTACAAGTTAATGTTTTACAGGCACTTAATCATGCTTGACACAAACATTGACTTATAAGAGTGTCTCAAGCAGAAACATCCATAAATGTTATGCTGATTGTTGTTTACTGGTGTTTTGCTCTCTATGGTTTTGTGTTCTGCTGATGCTGAGCGTTCCTCTTTCTGTACAAGTTAATGTTTTACAGGCACTTAATCATGCTTGACACAAACATTGACTTATAAGAGTGTCTCAAGCAGAAACATCCATAAATGTTATGCTGATTGTTGTTTACTGGTGTTTTCCAATGTTCTTGCCTAGAAAGGCAGAAGAAAAATGAAAATATGCGTAGCTTCAGAAATTGGAAAAAAGTGTGCCTCACTGAGGTTTGCTAGGTATCACATCGTGTTGCAGGTTTAAAGCCTGTGTCTGTTTCAATGCTTGCTGTCTCACAAATGATGAAGCTGGCAATGCTATTTGTAGATGCATGGTTGTTGTGACCTCATTTTCTTTAGGAGAGCTACAGCCTGCTTTGGGCTCTGACAACGCTTAATGTCAAAATGGCATAATTTGTAATGCTCTTTGTCAGTGTCAGCTGTCACAGAACAAATAAGCCTAAAAAGGAAAAGCTGACAACCTCTGTCCCAAAGATCTTTGTATCATAAGTGTGTTGTAAGAGAGGGAGAGAAGAGATGAGAACAGGGAGGTGGTGGGAACTGATGTGGAACAGTTCTTACAAGGTGTGGTCACCACACACAGATTGACCAGTCATTTTTGAGGTTTGTGTATGCAGCCTGCGAGAGAGGACTTGTGAAAAGGGCTTTGCGTGGATGTAATTCAGCTTTGGATTTTGGTAGGAGTTCCTCGTAAATAAGGAATAGGGTGTGAGAAATTTGGAGGGGTTAGAAGAATTGAAGGGTGGAGGTTCCTGAGGTTGTCTGAGTGGAGGTCCAGGTCTACACTAGAAACTTGGCAGGAACTTGGACCCTCTTTTGCTATAGTTCCTTCACTAGCAGTAATACTAGACTGAAGCAGTTTTATGGCCGTGAAACTTAACTATCTGGCCTGGAAAAGTACTATGAATTCTACTGAAGAATGTTTCTTTTTGCTGTAGAGATCTCAACAGAAAAAGGGTTTGGCGTCTAACTTTGTGTGGTCTAGATTTAAACCTGACTGATGCAAAAGTCCCCCTGTGTAAGAACTGTGTGCTGAAGAGCTAAGAGGTTGTCTTCGAGTGATGTTGGTTTAGAATACAGCTCTCTATAGTTTGAAAACTGATGCCTGGCATGAAAAATATGATATCTTGCAAGCAAGAAGGCATAGCTTAAAATTAAGTTACTGTCTTCTAGATGGTGGCCATGGTTCTGAGCTGTGTTAGTCAATATGTGGACACTTGTAATTTGGGTTGCTGCAAAACTAGTTGCATTACCTTAAAAAAAAAAATTGTTGGAGGTTGTCATATCGTCTGTGGATTACTGCAATCCAGCTGTGAGAATGATAAGATGCAGGATATTTGTGCCCTTAAAATGGCAGTGCACTAAGATAGTCTCTGTGGCATGGGTTTGAATGACCCTAAAGAGAACAAGGTGGCATTTTTTTCCGGAGACCACAGAAATGGATATTTTAGTGTTCAAGAGGAAGATAGTAAGTGCTTGGATGGCTGTCTGGCTTTCCCCTGTGGGTGGAATAGGAATTGGAATTGAAGGAGGGTGCAATATGCAGATGTTTGAGCAGAGAAATGTAAACCAACTGTTTGTTTCAGTGGTGTTGGCCTGTGTATATTAGTTTAAATATAAAAGATTAATTAAAATAGAAAAGTATCTGTAGGGAGTAAAGGGGGGAACCTAATCAAGGGGAATTGTTTTTACCTGCTGTTTCAAAACGAAAGAGTTGCCACACTTGACTTGTGTTGCATCATGATTCATACTGAGCAGTCGTATTTTCATAGGTATTTGATTTAAATTTCTAGTTTGATAGCTTTTAATTTAGTGACATTGCAATAACTGAATTTTCTCTTTTTAATGTTTTTACCTCCTTTTAAACTGCTATTGGTCACTAACACTTGTATTTTGATTATATGAAGTAAGAAGTGAGTAGGTTTGTCATTGCATGTGGGGGATATTCACTGAAGGATACTGGGTTGAGTTTAAAGAGGTGAAGATAGATTGGGTTTTGAAGGTTCATTTGAAAAAAAAAAACAACACAAAAAGTTGATCCTTGGCATTGTACTTGGTCAAAGAGTTGAGTGCAAATAGATTCAGGAGGATGACTGGAACACATCTTAGTGTTCACCAATACCGACTGTAAGGCTGGAAGGACTGGATTGCTCAACCTCCTGTGTTTTGCAGACCCCCAAACTGCAGCCAGGTTCCCCGTGTGTTCAGCATAACTTTTATTTGCCCGCTTGTTTGACTCTTACAAAAATCATTAAAGTGTGTGAACAGACACTAATTGCAGGTGTGCATTCCCTGGGCTGTAGCCACAGGAAAAGAGAGTGAGGATTGAGTGTTTCTGAAGGTATGTGCTTCCAGTTTACAGATGATGAGACATCTGGATGTCTGAGCAGAGCAGATGACCTTTGCACTTCTTTTCCAGAGAAATAGAAGTTTTAATATTTTTAAGTAGCAGAATTGTTATTTGCAAACTAAGTTATGCAAGAGTAATTTGTGATTTGATAGGCTAAAGTGAGGATACTTGCTGAGAGAAATGTATGGAGCACCTGTTTTGTCTTGGAGGGCATGTGCATGCTTGGGTACGCAGTGTAACATGCTTCAATGACTTCTAGTAATTCTGGTTTTTAATGCCCAAGTTGAGGTAGTTGATGGTGTATTACACCTGACTTCTGTCTCCTGTCTCAGGTTGCTGGTAGCATCCTGCCTTGTGCTGACCTGAGGTTTACTCCTATTTTGAAAGTTCCTTTGCAGGCTTAGTGTGGGTGGGTGAGCTTGTGGCCCCCAAGGCAAGCAGAGAGCTGGCAGACACGGTTCTTTGCACCTCAGGTTCATGCGTTTCTGGGGATCTTCTGTATCTGAGATGCCTTCGCTGGCAACATTTTCCAGTGATTTATCTCATGCCCTATCTGTTTTCCTCCCGTCATCCTCACCTCAATAGTGAGAAGAGGGAAAGCTATATAGTACATTATAGGGTTTTTATTATTGAAGCATGTTGGTATTTATCCGTTTTCCTCATGTTAAAATGGAAAGTAGAAACAGCTATTTTTGCATCTTCTAAAAAGCATCACCCCCCACAGAAAAATCCCACCTAAGTGGTTGCTTCAGAAACTTTTCATTTCAGTAAGAATTATTTAACGTACTCCCCTTCTTTGCAGATGATGACTTTGATCAATTCGATAAGCCTGGTGCAGAAAGGTCTTGGAGAAGAAGAGCTGGAGATGATGACTGGGACAGGTAGGTGTAGAGTATCTTCACGTTCGGTTTCTGTATGCTGAATTACATTGCTCTGTTTCACGTTCTGGCATTTTGTATCATAACTTTAAGAGTAGCACACATTTAGATACTAATGAAGATGTTGGTTGTTATGCATGTGTCAGCCACTGCTGGATTGTGCCAAACATACTTGCCTTGAGGAGCAGAGAGAGCACTGTGAGGAGATACCATTTAAAATCGGATAAAGTACTTGTGGTGTGTAATTAGCTTTGCAGTTAATGTCCTAGTTTTCCTTAAATATTTAGTAGATCTCAATGGTTTAAATAGTTAGGTTTTGCTACTACTTGAATTTGCCCAACTTAATTTTTTTTTTTCCAGCTAGATGTTTAAATACTTAAAGTCCTACTTCAGTTTTACGTTGCAGGAGAGTAATGGAGTGTAAGTATAGGCTTCTACTGAAAAAAAATGACTGGTAAAAAGATTTAGAAGTATGTATGAATTTGGTTATTTTGGGGAAGAAAAAGAATTCTCTTACGTGAAGGCACTGTAACTGGGAAAGACTTGAATCAAGCTGCTGGCTAGACTTGTCTGTTCTTTGTGGGAGAAAACTTTTTGGTTTTTTGTGGGGTTGCTTTTTGATTATTCCATTTTAGTAACAGAGAGACTTGTTTAGACTTTGCCAGTGGTTTTCACTGTAAAAAGGGGAAAAAAACATTCCAGCCAGATTTTTACCTTTTCTAATAATCCTTCAAGTGATTGTAGTAAACAAGTTTTACGCTAAGTAGTTTTCCACTGAGTTGAGCCTTCCGGAGTGAATCAGCTACTCCCAATTTGTCATCATTCCAGAGGGCTTAGCTTCTTCTTCTGCGCTTTTCTGTAGGTTAAGTGGGTGTTTTTTGTTACTCTAGGAGGTGAGTAAGAGCGAATAAGGAATGTGGACAGTAGCTTCTGTATACAGGGTGTTCTGCTGTATGCTGGTGAGGGGTGTCTGCTCTCGCTGTTGGTGGGTTGGATGGTGAACTACATTGAACTGATCTGGTTTGCGAGTGTAATTAAAATCACTGGGTTACTGTACCGTGCTGCCTCCGAGCCCCAGCTCTGGGTATTCAGAAATACTGAGGCCAATATTACAGGCAAAATGCTTTGTATTAGAATATTTTCTGAACTTGTTGCCTTTGCTGACTTCATTGTATGAATAGGTGGGCTCTTAGATGCTGGCTGGTCACATTTGGTTTTAGCTGTCCTACTCTTGCTGTTGTCTCACAAATGGAGTTCATTACCTGGTGTGCAACATCCAGTACGCGTACAGAGCTGAGATACTGGTTTATTTTTGGTTTTGCACAAAATCGGGTGCTAGGTGGTTTTCTACAAAGCTAGTACACCTGGTTACAATCACACTGCATATTTATACAGCTAAAAATGTTAGTTCTGCCTGTTAGCCATACCCTCCTAACTATGACTGGTTAGTTCTCTTCTCACTTTGGTTTAAAGATACAGTACTCCTAAAATTTACTATGTGTGCTCAGTGAGTAAAGGTCTTTGCTTGGGCCAGGGTCTCCAGCTCGAGGAGTGTGATTTTTAGTACTGTAATGAGGATAGTTGGTTTAAGGGCACACTTTATCATTCTTCTGCTGATAGTTCCAAATTGTTCAGAAATGTCTTAATTAGCTTACATATTTTTCCAAGATATGCTTTGTTCCCAAGGACAGTAGTTCCTGATTAGGAGTTCCTGTATCAAGTACTCTTATCAACATCTTGGCCTTCCGTTAACCCTAGTGTACATATTTTAGCTAAATAATTAGATTGGACTGACCTTCTATGCTTACAAATGTAATGCTGAGTTCAACCGATTACATTGCCACCTAGGAAAATTTGGAAGAGTCAAACAGGAATTGTATCAGAAGTTGTAAGCTTATTGCCAATGGTAAGCTGCCTGTGGCAAAGATTCTTATAGGACCTGAGAAAGGTTATAGAGTATTTTCACTAAGCTGAGACTTTGAAGCACATAAAGAGTCAGTTTTAGAAGACAAGTTTTCATTTACGTGTTTTTTATTAGCTGCATATAATTTAAGATAGATGATCAAAAATGATATTGTTTGTTCTTTAGTGAAATTGTAAGGGAAGTGGTTTCAGGTGCATGCTGGAGATTCCAGAGTTTCATCTTGCTGATCATTTCAAAAAATTTTTTTACAACTATATCTAATAGAATATTATTTTATTTGCATGTTGGAATTTGTATTTTTTAATTATTATCATTAATTCATTTTAGATTGCCATGCTGTCTTTGGAGGTGTTAAGTTCTGCAGTTGTCGGGGCAGTTACAAATGCTGTACATGGATATGTTCTTGCCTAATGTAATTGCTTGAATTTTTTTAACTACTGGCCTGATGCAGTATGGGGCACAGCTTCTTGAAGATGGAAAAAATGCTGATTGAGCACAGCAGACTTGGGTTTTTCAATCCTTCGTGCTTTGCTTTGCAACCTAAACCACTTTTTTGTGGAGGACGCTGAAGGGGTTATGCGTTAGTCGTACATCTTGATTAATGATTAGCTCTTACTGTGTTGCTACCTGAGTCCCATCCCCCAGTCACTTAAATAATTTTGAATTTCCAGATCTCTCTCCTTCCTCAAACACTGGAGGGTGATAACTGAGAGTTGGAAGGCCCCTATTGTTTTGGGAGTACAAATGTAACATTGTTCTTGGAGAATTTTTCCCATTGCATTTTTTTACAAATTCTTTTCCTGAAACACTTGTGTACTGGCTACTGCTCATGTTTAATGAGGCATGCTCATGAAATTGGAGGCCAGAAAGGGCCAGTATGACGTCTTTATCACGGGCTGTTAATTTATACATTTATCTCTATAAGTAGCCCAAAGCTTGCATTTGGGAAAAATATGCATTTCTGGAGCTATTCTGTGAGATGACAGGGCTGATTTAGTAGTTGACTTCTGTTGAAATTCACTTGTTCTGATCCTTCTCTGAGATCATTCATTTCTCTACACTGGCAGAAAACTTTCTCTTTTTTGTTGTCTGTTTTATTATTATTTTCTCTTCTTTCTTTGAATTTATTCAGTGAGGGGAATGTTGAGTATTGGGAGTTGAGGAAGGAGAGCAATGAGTCTCTCTCTCATGAGAGCAGTGAACTCTGAAGATTATCTTAACCCTCCATAATTTCCTAGAATGGTGGTTTTGGGTAGACCTTTGTGTCTTGATGATAGGGTGAGTTTTCTTTGGAACTATCACAGATGTGTACTTTTATTCCAGTTTAATTTATGTAGCTTTGTGTGGTATCAGATTGCAATCATTCATTTTTGTCTGTTTTTCTCAGCTAGCCTGAGATCTTTAAGTATTTTTTTATTTTTTTTTTAATAGTCAGATCTGGTAATTCTGGTCCCTCTTATTTCTGGTAGATAGCTTCAGATTCTGCTATTTTAAAAGCAGCTTTATTGTGCAGACTTTTCACTGTTACTTTGTTTATTCACAAAGTTATCAACAGTGATTTTTCTTCTTTTAATTTGTCAATGAAAATATTGAACGACATTGAATATTTCAATAGGTTTTGAGGGGCATTCTGTGAAACACTTTGTTTCTGTTATGAGCTTCGTTTATGTGCTAGTTCTAATTTTTATAGCTGTCAAGTAATAAGCCAAAGCTTTTAAAAATCTAGAATACGGATACAATTACTTCTGTTGAACGAATATTTAATCATTTTTTTTTAAATCACATTGAGGATATTTTTTAATAATGTGTTGAATAGCCCTAACTGTGTTTAGATAATAATTTATTTTTTCACTTTGTTTTCCTTTCCTTTTTGATCTACATTTCTTAGTACCTGAGTCGTAAGGGTTTGAATGCTGCTATAACATACGGTCCTGCCGTCTTTTGGAATTTCTCTAGTGCAGTTTTATTAAAAGCTGTCAGTGGTGGACCATAGTACTGGGAAATATTTTCAAACCTTTTGGTGCATTTGTCATATTACAGGCAGCTGAAGAGATTAGTGACTTTTTCCTACTTGAGTTTGGGCTCTAAATTCTTCTGCAGCAGTTTCTGTTACGTAGAGTTTTCTGTTTCTGAAATAAAGGGCTTAAATTCTAGTCAGTTTGCTCTTTGGAATGTATGATAAGTCTTATGTCCCAATTTTTGTTTAATATTGCAGTGAGCACAAAACAATTGCTGTTAATGTTCAGTCGTTCCTGGAACTGTTTGACATCAGTAGCTATGGGCAAATATTGTGTACCGATGATAACACCCTATTTAGGGCTGATTTGGAGTATCACCTGCTCTCTGCTAGCCCACATGATTTTTATTCCCTCCTCCATTATCTGTACAGTAACCAGCTCGGAAAGAGATGTGTCTATGTGCAAAACCAAGTCTTAGCACTGGTTTATGTCTTGTGATTGCCTCCCCATTTTCAGTTATTTCCTATGTAGTCCCAAGGAACTCTTATACATACATATTCCTACTCTGTTCATATAGCCCATTCTCACTTTGGGATATTTAATTTTTATGTAGTATATAAGGAATGCTTTTGATGTTTTTTGTGTTTTTTTTTTTAAGGTGTGCAGGTAGAAATAGTCTCATTCTTGAATTACAACTCATATTTCAAATCACTGGCATCTCAGTTTTAAGACACGCATGTTCTAATACAGGCATTTGTCAGTAATAAGTGTTTATTATAGAAGGGAGAATCTGCTTATTCCTGTCACTAGATAATTCTTTCACTGAAAGAAGAAGGAGATTGACCAGTTGTCCTAAAGCTTAACTGATCTGGCCTGTAGGTCTTTGTGTTGCACCCTATGTATGGGACAGATGCTCTGTGAGGTGCAGCTTGGGCGATGTGGTGGCCCGTAGACTTGATTCTTGCCCGCAGGACATTACTATCTCGCTTCTTCCCTGAGGAGGTGGGAAGCAGCAGTTTGGACAATATGCCCAAATGGCCTTGAAGTGAAGGATCTAGAGTGGGGGACCTAGTAACTGTGTTTTAAATGCCTATACTTTGTTGAGGTTTATGTGCTGTGTTACGGTTGAAGGGATATGGAAAGGAGAGTGTATGAAAATGAAATGACCGTGCAACAACAATCTTACATAGTGTGTATGGTCTGTTGTTTCGTTTAAAATTTATATCTCCTTTTTCAACTTGCTGAGTGCTTTGCTAAAAGGAAAGCTTTGTGCAGACTCCAGACAATTCTTCTGAAGTTAGTTTTTTAAGGCATATACCCTATATGGTGTTTGTTTCTGTTTTCTAAGGTTCAATTTCTTAAATTTGTTAATGTTTTCCAGTGAACTTGATGATGACTTGCTTGGAGAGGATTTGCTAACTGGCAAAAAGGTAAGAGATGTGCATTAAAGTCAATTGTTACAGATATTAAAATGTGAATTTTTCAACTTCAGTTGTTTGGTATGGTGTTTTATGTATTTTACGGTCACTTCCCCAAAGCCTGACAGCCACGGGTACCTGAGATCTGCCCTGTTGCTAGAGTGCTCTGCACCCAGAGCTCCATTTTCTTTGGTGGAGTACCTGCAAGTGTGGCTTTTTAAAATACAAGTTCTAGAAGAATTATTTTTTCTGAGATAGTTTTTCTTCTCATAACACAGTTCGAAAAGGAGGTGGTTCTCAAAATCAGTTTCTTTGTAGCTCATATTGACTTGGCAACTAAAAAACAAAACAAAACAAAAAACCCCCAATTATGCCTCCTGAGTGCTGATTAGCATTCTGGAGAATTCACTTCAACTGCCAGTTTCGTGGCTATTAAATATTACTCAGCAAAAATAACCAGCAGTATTTACAAGAGAGTAAATAAGAAAGCAGTCAAGGGTGCCTATTAAAGATCCACTCACTGCACAAAATCCACTACTACTTTGACGAGTAGGCAGAGGATTTCCCCTTCTACAGTGACGGAAGAATATGGGAGCAGCTGGCATTGGAGAACATAAACAAGTCCTCCCATGTTGACTATTGACTCCTCACTCTGGTGCCTGTTTCCGAAATTGAACTCTTTGAAAAGAACTGAATGTATGTTTGAATTTGCCAGATATTGTCAGGAGAAGACAGGGCTTCTGTTTGGGAAATGAAAACCGGCTAGTCACCTCTATCTTCAGCTTATCTGCTAAATGATTGCATTTAGAAAATAGTTTCTAAAGTCTTAGAGATGAATAGATTTGTTAAGAAACACAGATCTAGTGAAAGTTGAGTTTTAGTTGATGTAGTTTTTTTAGAATCACACTCTAAATGTTGGAAGTTAGCTTTCTTGAAATTATTCTGTAAGTAAACCCTGTTAAAGATAGGAAGTTCCTTTGTCTTCTCTACTGGTTTAAAAAATAAAATTCCAGGAGGACAGGGATTGCAGATGTGTGTTATGCAGTTATCAAAAACATAAGCAGTTAACAATGCATACATCTTTGGAGTTGAAATGTAAGTTCATAAAGCTACTTGCTTATCTTAAAAAAAAAAAAAAAAAATTAAAAAAATTATTTGTGTGAATACTAACGAATACTAGATTTCTCCAATATATTGTGCATTCTTGTGCTGTTTCTATTCTTGTTTTCAGTTTGCCATGTTACAGGGCTCTGAGCAGTGTCTGTGGGTACAGACTCATATGGTGGAGTCACAATAGATTTCTCAGGAAGTTTTCCCTAAGCTATTTAGGCTAAACTCACTTCTACTTAATCTCATCCCAGTACTTTTAGATAAATCTACCCTTGTATAACCTTTCTGCCCCTGTTACTTTAGGGAATGGAAATAATGTTGCTGAGCAAAACTTCAGTTATCTCATCCTAGTGGGTAATTATTTAAAGAAAAAGGTAAATGAAACAATTGAAATGATGATAGACAAATTAGGACAAGTTCAGAAAAGGCATGATATATTTTTCTTTTTTTTTCTTCACTTATAAATAATTATACTTTTTCAGTTTTCTTCATATCATTGTATCCTTTCCTCCAGTCTCCTGAGTATCTCTGCTCTCTAGAAGCTGCAGCAACTTACTGGATTTTCTTCACTTGCCTAATGCATCAAAGTCACAAGGCAGTGTACTGAAGCTAACCTTTGTTATTTCCTGGTGTTCCTTAAGTGAAATGTCATCTTTGGCTATATTTGGGTATGCATCAGTGAAAAGTGTTGCTAGCTAGGCAGATTTGAGTTTTGTAAATTTCCGTAAGGCTGTTAAACATTTTCAGATTTGTTGTCTTGTGCAGCACATTTTTTCTCATTGAATTAGGTAATTCATTGAAGTTATGGTCTTAGTCTGGAATGCATTCTTGTAAAAAATACTTACTGTTCAGAAGTTTCAATAGTTTCATTACCTAGTTAAAAGTGTGTATCCTTTTTTATGTTCACGATTGACTTTTTCTGAAACCTAGAATCAGTCAGACTTGTCAGATGAAGAGCTGAATGATGATCTTCTGCAAAGTGACAATGAAGAGGAACAAGAATTTCGGTATCTCTTTTCTAAATCTTGTGGTTTGGATAACTCAAAGTTATTAATGACTCCCATTACTAATAACTACTAACTACTGAACTAAAGTTGTAGGTATATACTTTCAATAGTTTTGCTTTTTAGCTAGCCAGTTACTTAATGATGTATATATAATGTGTTCAGTAGCATTGGTAGCATTTCAGTAAAATGATGTTCTTGTTTATTTGAATCTAATAAATTTAACTCAAATCTATAAGAAAAGCTTACGAAGAAGAAACTGCGTCATCTCCTGTGTGTTTAGAATTGTTTATAAATACTTACAGAGCTCTTGTTCTGTGTCGTCTTGGTATCATTGTAGGCTTCCTTCTCCTGTAAAGTCCTATTCTGCCATTTTTCTTTTAAAAATGTAACTTGCCTCCTAAGACCCTGAGGAGAGGAGCTTCATAGTTTGCAAGGCTTGATTTGTGGCTTAAGTATTTGTATACAGTTACACAGGAGAAAAATTTGTACAAAGTTTATAGGCTTGAATAGATACTCCTGTGGGAGTTTACTGAGGGTCCTGCCCTGTGAATACTCTGTGGTGATACAGCTCCACAACTCAGTTATGGGCATTGCAAGTCAAAATGAGTGTGCTGACATTTTTACTTTGCAAGCTGGACTGAAGGGGGAAGGAAGATGCTTCTGATGCAGAAGTGATGCACTACCACTGCTGCTTTTTGTGGCCTGTGTTTTGCCAGCTTTTCCTTTACTTGTTGCATGCTATGGGGGCACGTCATCTGAAGGGGTATGGATATATGTACATATTGCTGAGATCTCCTTTCTATGCTTGGCTGGAATTAGGATAAGGAGTCCTGTCCCTGTGTTGGATTGATGAGGGTGTGGTGAAATAGCTCAGACCATCAGTGTCTCTACTGGCCACTGTTTTCCTCCCTGCAGGAGTGAGGGCTGGACTGTTCCCTTCAAAATGGGGAATCCCAGTTACAGTCCTTGCTGTTTTTTCTCTGGATTTCCTTCTTGTGAGCCCTGGGCAGCAGGGATGGCTATGTAACTGCATGAGTGACAAGAAAGTATCAGAAGTGTGACAGTATTGCTCGGTGGAAGCAGGTTTCTGTAGACAAGTCTTGCATTTTTAGCAATTTTATTGCCAAAGAGCGAGAGCATTGCTCCACTCCTTTCCCCTGTCCCTCTACTTCCATTCAAACTCATTTATGCTCTGTAGTTGGGAGGATCATGATAATCCTTCATAATGTCTTCATTTCTGTATTAAATCTTCTTTGTCTTATAGGTGCAAATAGCTCAAAGCTGCCTTGATCTTGTTCCCTCAAACTTAGGAAAATAGTGAATAATAGGAATGTAACTAAAAAAAATAACTCTGTTTTCCTTGTACCCAGAGCCCTCAAATCAAGAAGAGCATTTTACCCTGCTTTTCTAACTACTCTACAGTTGGCTAGTTGCTCTGTTATGTGTTGATGGCACTAGCTATTGAAAAGAGTAAATTCTGAGTTTTGCTTTTCTTTGAAATTATAAACTTACCAGCTTTTGTATTGATTGGGTTCTTTCAGTGTCTGTACCAGTGCTGTTCCCAAGTTAGAGTAAGTTTTAGGCATGTAAGTGACAGTTCTTGACTCTATATTTTACATTATTTTAAGTAGAACATTTAATCTGTTGTAAAAATGTAAGTTTGAATTCAAGATAATCAAAAAGGAACAACATTAATACATTCAGTAAAAAAAATTTACTAGCGTATTCTGAAAGATTGGGATACCAGATGCAGTTATAGTAATTTTGTGTATTTTTTTGTTAGTCTTGGAATTAAAATTGAATCCAGTCTGCTTTGGTTACCAAGCAGAACTTCTGCCAGTTTGACCTGCTAAACCATCTGGTTGGTTTGATTCCCCTGGTCAAATAGCCTGCAGCTGGTGATAAGCTGCAGTCCAGTATGCATTACGAGAATATGGCATGGAGTCAAGTAGCATGTGAGGTATAATTTTGTCCACCAACTTAGAGAATTTGTATTTGCTGGCTTTGTTTTGCTAAATCTTTGTGAGCAGTTTACTGTTATGCTTGAACCTCTGAATTTTTCCTCCCCCTATACCGTAGTTCTCAAGGTGTCACAGTTAGCCTCAATGCTACGTCTGGCATGCTTACGTCATACGAACTCTCTGAGACCATCAATGATCCATCGATAGAACATGAGTCTGAGTATGACCAAGGGGAAGATGAAATTGTTTATGACAAATCTGAAGCACCTGAAGTATATGCGTCAGGCTATGCAGATGAAGAACATTATGAAGGCAATGATCCTGAGCTGACAGAAGACCAAATAGAATATGGGGAAGAGCCTGGAGAAGAAGATGAAGTGCTAGACCTTGAAATCAATGAACCCCTAGATGAATTTCCAGTGAGTTTCTTTCTATTGTATCTTCAAAGATAACATTGCTTCACGTGCATAGGGTTTTAGACTGATTTGAAATCTGTTTACCTCCCTAGGGAGGAGGGGAAATTAGACCTATTATCACTGTCTGCCAGTTTCTTTATCTAGGCTGTGACAAAGTTTGTGTTGACAGCTTGTTTGGCGGTAGGTAATGCTCCTTTGTCATGCTGGAAGGCAGTTGAGAATCATGACCTTGAGGATTGTATCCTTAAGGAAGAAAACAGCTTTGTGTGGTGGAGATACACTGCCAATTGTTAGAAGTACTTAATGCAAAAGCTTTTATCCAGGCTTTAGACTAGATCTGATAAAGTCCTTCGAAGGTGAAAAGATTATTGACCTGCTAAAGACATCTTTAAGGTGCTAATATCCCATAGTGATTGATGTCCTGCTCGTTCATCCTTTTTGTAACTGAGAACTGTCTAAACCTGAATAAAGAGATTGGAGGTTAGTTCAGAAAATGTCACCTGCATAATTCAATATAATTTAAGCAGTGTATTAGAGAACATGTACTGGCTTTAATTGCTGGTAAAATGATTTAATTAAAGCTGTATGTGATCAGTGAGGAGTTTTAAAATACAAGCAAACTTACCTGAGAAAGGTTTTGCTCTAGTTTTATGTTCATAATTGTTCAGAATTGAACCTCTTCATGTGTAAGCACTTGCAGAATCTTTTAAGGGTAAAATCTGATGTTAATGTATATGTGCTATAGGTGCATGTTTCCTGTGGTAAGAAAGTACTGCAGTTTTTGCTTCAGGAATTTGTAATCAAAGGATGTAGAAGTACAGAAGTAGATGGGGCAAACAGTAGCAGATGGGATTTTTATACTGACATTGCTGGGATACGAATGCAAACTGTTCTGGTTATGTTTCCGATAACGTTGAAATTATTGTCTAGTTAAAAGCCCTGCTAATTGATTTATCACTTATATGATACATCCCTTATAATTGGCAGTTCTGATATGGCTCTTCTCTTCCGGTTCTGGAAACAGTAACAAAGCGTACAGACCCTATCTCTTAATGTGTTTGCCATTCTGTAAAGTTGGCGTATGTCTTTTCACCTTCATGTGTTTACTGCCTTAGGATGAAGATTACATGCAATCATATAATGAGCAAGCAATGGAAGAACAAGAAGAATATGCAGCTGATGAGGAGCTGGAAGAATCCCAGACAATGACAAATGAATCGGAAGAGGTATGTTAGAAATTCAGTGGAAACTTAAAATAACTAGTTGTTTCAGAATTTGAATTTGTAGAATTGTCCATGATGCTGGGTAAAAACTGATGCAGCTTTGCCAATGTGGAGTTATTGGTGGTATTCCTCTTTGTACAAGATGAATGTGATAGCATCTATATTGTCGCATATATCACGTCCCCTCCCCTCCTGGGGATGAAAATCGTGAGGGAGAGCTTAAAATGTCCATGTTTAATCTCAGCTTCAACATTAGAAACTCGGGGGCCCTTTTGTTTAGGAGAATGATAGTGATACTGCATGCTGTCAGTGAAATCTCTAACAGCTGTGGTGCCTCACTTTCCAGATGGATAATTTGCTGCTGTTGGGAGTGTAGATACAGTTCTTGGGTGTCCCGATTTGAGGAGGAGCGTGAGCATGGAAGGTTTGGTATGTTAGAAAGGAAAAGCTCAGATTGTTGGTTGTTCTGGAAAAAGTTGTATTGAGACCGAAATTTCTGTGAGGTTTATCTTAATTCTTCTGATAGGAAAAAGGATGAGTTCCTTCATTTGCAGGAAGAAAGCTTATGCCAAAAACTGTCAAGTATACATTCACTGTCTGTAGCCTGGAACTGTGTTACCATACTTGTTATTAATTGTCAGCAAGTTTTTGATGTGGGATTTTTTTCCTTTCCCCACCAGGAATCTGCTTTAATATTACTTTTATTCCAGCTCTTAATTAAATAGGATTGAATGGATTGCCTGCTGAGAAGTGTAGTCAGAACTGTTCCCTCTTTGGAGCTTTAACTCATCTGGAAATTAATTCCTCAGACACAGCAGTGTTACTCTGTGAATTTCTAACAAATGGGTGTGCTGTGATACTCGAGTTGTATTGGACTTATTATAATAAAACAACATTGTTTGGTAGGTGAAGAGAGACATTGAAAGAGGCCACCTCGTTCAGTCTTTGCTGTTGCAAGCATGATATCTTACACCTTAATACTGTAATATAGTTAATTTCCTAATTCCTAAGTATAAATATACCATTCCAAAGAACTGTGAAACACTTAAACACTTCTTATTCATTCAGTGGATTATATACACTTTACTTCTGGGGTTTTAAAAGCAGACTGATGCGTTTGTGCTATCTGTAGCAGCAGTTTGCATGAGACGATGAAAGCACTGCACATTGTGTAAAATTAAGTACATAGCTGGAATTCACTGTCAAATTCACTGCTTTAAAAAAGCATAGCTTCATTTTTAAACTATGAACTAGTGAGAATTCTGTAATAATCATGTTGTCTAAAGTTGTCCAATTCAGAATTAAATTCCTTTCAAAAGATAACATTAATGCAAGTTTTTAATTGCTTTTGTTAATAGACCTTCATAGATTTTGTTCTTCATGTAAAGTGAATGCTTTGGCCACACCTATGCAGTTAAGAGGCATTCTGGCTTTATTCTGATGGCTTGCAGATTGCAGCAGGTTTCTTGTTTCCAAAATGATACCATGTTTTTATTCCTTTATTATTTCATATGTAGCTTATTTATGTTTGTCAGTAGACTCACAATTGCATTCTCCAAATGAAAATACCACCAAGAGAGAGAACCGTTGTAGAGTATGCACGTCTGTTTATTACATGGTTAGATGCATGCCTCTTGCTCTGAATAGTTTTGTTGTTTGTTCAAGTGTTATGGAATAGCGCTCCTCATAACATTCATTGCTTGTAAACAAGGGGGAATGTTGACATTTTCATGTAGAAAATGCAACATAACAATGGAGCCGTAATAGATACGGTACAAATAAATAGCGTTGTTATTTCTTGATTGAAATTTGGCATCTGAATAACTGAGAGTGAGCTGATAGAGAAAAGTGTTTGATAGTGTTGTATTTTAAGCAGTTTCCACGTTAAAACCAAATAAAGCCTCTTATTACATTGCCTGAAGAAATGCTGTAAGCCAAGAGAAAAGCTGACTGGCTGAGCGGTTGGGACATGATGGAGGGAAACTGGTGAATAAGGGAAGTGAGACACTTGTTAGGAGTGGCATTCAGGTGGGAGGTGTGAGGAAGAGGTAGGAAAAGTTTGTGCTCTTAGCAAGATCAGGCATGCTTTTTCACTTGCTATTTAATTTGAAACAATGCTTAGAACTTGTTTTTTGAATAAATAACACTCTTTGTGGAGCTTCCTTGAAAAATGTAGGAATGTTTCAGAAAATATTTTTGCCTTCCTAAGGTGCAAAGCAAAACCCAATACCCGGAAACTTCAGCAGCAAATAGGTGTGGTAAAACTGTCAGTTATATGAGTTATCATGTCCTAAATATTTTTAGAGGTATATCAGTATTTCTACAAAATGTTCATAAAATTAGAATTCATAATTTCTTTTTTTGGTAATGGCACTAATCTCCTGTGAAGTCTGTGATAGGGGGGTTTCTCACTGCATAAATTTAAACTGTGTCTTCGGTTACGCTGGTAAGAAATGATGACTTTAATCAAGAAAACATTTCATGAAGCAGTGCAAAATATTTAATGAAGAAGTGCTGGATTGGATACTGGTTTTCTTTTGACAGAGTACAGACTTGGAAAAAAAAGGCCAATGTGTGTGTTTGCGAGATTGTTCCATCTGTGTTTAGCCGAAACTTAGGCATTTCAGTTGTTTTGTTCAAGTTTGAAGACACTACCTGTCAGCCTGGAGAAAATGATGGAGAGAGTCCAAAAAAACCAGCCAAGTTTTAAACATATTTAGAAGCTCCTAGGTTTGTGTTTTATTCCCATTTTTCATCTGTGAGGTGGAGGTGCCCTTGGAATAGGTGTGACATCCTCTTACCTGCTCTGTGTTATTTCTTGATCCCTTAGGATTGCTGCTTCAGTGTTAGCCTCCGCTTTGTCTCACCTTCATAATGTTTCACGTGTAAGGGACCTGGTTTGGCCTTTACAATGCTTACCAGTTTTGTACATCTTAGCACTCTGGCACAAAGCTCTCCAGAACACTTGACAGTCCCGTGTTTGGGAGGATCCTGTGCTCACGTCAGCATTTATCATGCAGACTGGTGTTTTCTGCTGCTTTCTTTGGGCTGTGCCTGTTACCAGTCCTGCAGGTACTGTATGGTAAGCTGTCCGGGGTGGGAGCACTCTTGCTCCATAGCAGATCATAACCCAACGTGGGGAGTTCTGACCAGTGGCTGGGGTTTATGGCATAACTATTTAATGAGGATGGCAGAAAACTCTGACCTTGTGATGGAAGAAAGGTCGTTATTTTTCTTCGTAAGGAAGAGTCAACAAAGCTCTATGGTAGCTTTGCGCGAGGTGTCAGAATGGGAAATGTTAAGCTCCCTTTGAGCACAGCTGCGAAGAAGCCTTGGCTCGCTGGTCCAGTCAAGTGACCTCAAGTGGCTGTGCAAGGACTGTTTATGTATGTGCACAGATATTCATGACTAGCAAGTATTAAATAGAATCCTGTAAGTACTAGTATGTATTAATTGTATGTCTACATTTGTGTCTTTTCCTGTATAAATTTCTTTTGAAACATAGAATCCATTCATATACTGTAATCTTGGCAAAAAAACTCATCCTGTTAGGCTGGAAGTTGGCAAAGATGATCTGAAGTCTTGCATGCTACGAATGTTGAACAGATTGCAGAGGAAGGATGTATGCTCCTACACAGCTCAGATAACCTTTCCTGGAGCTGTGTGTGGAGAACATACGGTTGGCTGTCAGACGTGTTTGTGTCTCCATTGCAGCTAATATAAATCCCTCAATAATACGTGTAATCAGACTTGGGCATGGGTCAGTGTTCTTGAGCACTGCCTTAACTTGGTGCCTGCTTTTTCATTAGCTCCTTTGATTTTTTTGTCTTTGGTATTTAATGCTTGTATGGCTGTTGTTTGTAAATAGGTCACATGAGCATTGTACTGATGAGTGAGTGAGTTAGACCCAGAAGACCGCAGAGTTGATAGAAGTGGCTGATAATAGAATAGTACTGGTCTAGAAAAGTTTGAGAAATGTTTTTTATTGTTGCATATGAAAGTAGTTGTCTTGTAATCTATTACAATTTGTGTGGGTTTTTTTGCTTTTAGATTTTTTTTTTCTAGAATGAATAATTACCAAACAGCAACAGTTTCCGTAGGTGTTTACTATAGCATTTCCTTAAGCATTACAGAATTTTTCACGACAGTGCAGACTGCTTTAACCATTCTAGTCCTGATTCTGCAGTCTGAGCGAGACGTAGAGCCTTGCATGAGGAAGTTTTGCACTCAGATAAGATTACGTGACTGAGACCAGTCTTTGATGAATAAAAACTGGAATTCCAACGTAGCTGTTAAGGAGCATGGACATAGAGAGTGTGTCTGTCTTGGATTTGTGCCCTAAAGTAAAGCAGGAGGCTCCGTGTAGTGAGAGAGCATGTCTCATAAAACAGCCGCTCCAGTTCTGACTTCCAAATCCTGATGGGAAGGTTTTTAAAGGCAAGCATTTTGGGTTTATGATATTTAAAAACATAAATTTGATAGAAATTTTGCTACTCCTTTGCTTTTGGGAGTACCTCGTTTGAAAGTAAAATTCTAACCGTGTATTTCTCCTTTGGTTTTGTTTGTTTTTATTAAACCACATTAGTGTCCCTTTCTTTGCTAACATCCCTCCTCTGTTCCATGAGTTTCAACTGGCTGTCCTCAGAGGTACTTTGATTATACACAGGTGTGTTAATCAGACCAGTTGTGCCCAATGTGGGTTTGCTTTTGAGGTTTGGATTTCTTTCAGTTTTGAAGGAATTTTTTTTTTTTTTGCCTGCTATCCTGTCTGTTGTTTTTAGCTACATTTTTTTGATATGATAAAGTCATTATATAAAAGTGAATATATTTTTGAAATATAAGCCTCAAAGCTTTTTTGTAAACTTTGGCTGTTCTCTTAGTTATATCTTAAAGCATTTTTGTGAGGTCAGGATATTTAGTGCTTGAATGTTTGCCTGGAATGGATAAAACACATTCCAAGATAAGGAGATGATAAAATGAAAATAACTTGGGATCAGTAGTCCATTAAAGCCCAGTAAGTGAGTGTACAGATCATTATTCACTAGACCAAAGGTGGAGTAGCTTTGAGCTTGAGTTCAGTTGATGTGCTGTCTTCTAAAGTAGAAACTGTCTTGGATGAAGTTGGGCTCCTGGATAAGGGTGTTTGCAATCTCTTGCACCATTCTGCCAGAATTTATTTTTTGCGATTTGTGACTTAGTATCTGTCCATCTGACTGACACGCTTACTATGCCTTTTTCATGTAACTTAATGCACTAATCTGGTTTATTAGAAGATTAAACCATTTTTTTGCATGTTATTTCACTCTTTTTTAACTGGCCTTGGGCAACATAGAAGTTAAGATATGTTTAGTGACTTTGCAAAGAATTAAAATGCATGTGCAGGCTCTCGGAAATGAGCAAGTAGGCTTGTACAAGAAATAACCAAATATACAGTTAACCAAATATTTTACAGAAAATCATATTACATTAGAACATTTCTAATTTTCAACTCTATAAATCAAATAAAGCTTGTGTAACATCCTGAACATTAATTTTATCATGCCAGCACAGGAAAATGAAATTGATTTTTTTTTTTTCTTTTCTTCTTTTTTTTAATTTGAAGGAGAGGGTTCCATTTTCATTTGGGACATTGTTTCATCTAAATAAATGTTCTTTTTTTTATAGAGAGAACTGGAAAGTAAAGGAGGAGAAGGAAAGAGCATTCCAATATATAAATTTAGTATATTCAAATTTTATCCAATCCTGTTCTCCATTTTCTCCATCAATTGCTGAATTAAATTGGCAAATGTTCAAGGAGTAGAAAAAGTAGACAAGTACAGTTATACATACTTAGAGGAATAAAATTGAAATGTAAGGTTATTTGTTGGGTTTTTTAACAACATGCCACTGACAGTTGTTAGCAAATGAAAAAAAAAGTATTAATGATTTATTGTTTGTATTGAATCTTGTAGTATCCCAGGTTTGCATCGTAGTTATTTCAGTGATATAATGTTGCTCTATGTGCAAAAGGTAGCTACTAATTAGATGGTGGTTCTAATTGGAGTTTCCATGTTCCCTTAAACATTGCAGCAAAATGGGTTTTCTGAGTAGATTTTACTATATAATTTATTATATACTTCATATCTTTATATTTGTAAAAACTTCACCAAGATATTAAATGCTCACTGAGTTATGTATGAGAATAATGTATAATAGCAGCAAGATTTGTATAAAGGGACCTTTAAAGAAAGCTTTGTCTTTTGACACTCAATGATCACAAGAAAGTAAACTTTTCGGTTTGCTTGTCCTCTTGTGTTTTGTGATTCAGGCAGCCATTGAATCTCTGGAACTTCAAGAAGAAACAAAAGAAGAATCTGATGAAGAGGAGGATGATGACGAAGAGTCTGGACGATTACGTTTCAAAACTGAACGGAAGGAAGGAACGATAATTAGGCTCTCAGATGTGACAAGAGAAAGGAGAAACATTCCAGAAACTTTGGGTAAGGTTTTGTGGCAATGGACTGTTTTGAAGAGCTGTAATGAAATAAAGTAAAAGGCAGGCTTGCCTAAACTTTTAGAAAAGAGTTTCAAGGCAGAAGATAGAACAGTTGCCTTCTAATTTAGACTGCCTATAATCCAAGTTGTTCAAAGTCATATGTAGTCTGTTGTAGTATGTGTAGTGTCTGTCTCCTTGGGAAGAATGTTTAAGCATATCATGTTTTGAAGAACAGCGCATTGTTTGTTCATTGAGACTTCTGTGGTGTCTTGCAAAGCTGTCCTCGTTTCAAGCAGCAGCTGTCTGATCTGTGCTTCACTGCGTATTGAGGTGGATTACATTTTAAGGAATTCCTTTGGGTTTCCATCCTTGGAAGATTTTCAGTTCATAACACAAATCTTGTTAGTCGTGTTCTGCTGTTAAACACCTGCATGTTTGCTGTTTTCTACCAGGAACATCAGCGTGCTGTGAACCTGTTGTGTTCCTGCTGTTGGATTGGCCTAGAGAATTTCTAACTTGCTGGGGAGTGTGCTGAAAAAATATGGAAACACCCATTTTCTGGGTTCAGCTTTTCTAACATGGAACAATCTGGATCTCTCATACCACTTTGATACTTTAGGCAATGTCTAAAAGGGTGTATTTTCCGTGTATTTGAGTAGCGCAACGCAAGCATGTTTGTGTCTAGGGACACTGCTCTGTGTAGCTAATGAATTTGCCACTGCTGGTTCAGAAACAGTAGATTTGCAACTTTATTGCAGCCACGCTGTTTTAGTCTGTAAATAAAATCACACTGATCCATGGTTTTGAGAGTTAATTTGAGGCCCTCTCATGCTCTGGGTACTCAAGTATCTGATACTGGTGTTTTTAAAATTCGCTGGCATGTGCCTGCCGTGCTGGGTATGATTATGTTGCCTCTTCGTGTTGGCCTTACAGAGGTGGTAATAATAATAACAAATATTAATAATAAAAAGTCAAATTAAAAAGGTCACATTAGGGAGATGGGTAGAAATTAAGTTTTGCTTTCAGAAAGGTGTAGCATTCTCATAGTTTGGCTACTGAACCAAAATATCAATTCAAACTATGGAGAAAAAGCCCTGATCTTTGAATAGAATCAAGACATGCAAGAGAGGTGAACTGGTAGTGAGGGCAAATTGTCAGATACTTTTTGCTAATTGCCAGATACCACTGGGAGAACATGTATCTTTTTATGATACTTCAGGTTTTGCCAGATTGTATGGATGAATTTTTCACACAGGATTGCTTTAAGTTGGGCGCCATGCGGCTTGAGCTTGGAAGCTGGGTGCTTCTGCTTTCTTTCCAGATCAGTCACTGTCTTCGGGGCAGCAGGGCATTTTGGAATGTTCACCCAGATACCTGGAACTCGTCCTGATGAAATTTTCGTACCTTAAGAGTCTCGCTTTGCAAATGATGCTCATTCTGAAGATTCTTCTCTTGAGTTGCATAGCCTATTAATTCTTTAATTCAGTTGCAAGGAATTTAGGCTTTTACTATGCTTGGAAAAATTGAGAAGCTTTAATTCTGTAACAAAGGTGTTCTGGCTAAGAGGGCTTCTTGTGAGCAGCAAGGAGTCAGCTGCAGAGGCTGAACCAGACTTTGACTGTGGTATTCATTTTAGGCCATGTCATGCTGAGAGAGAGATGTCAGTGCATGATTTTGAATCAAAATCTTTCTCATCTGTTGTTCGTATTTAGCAAATAGCTCTTCTTACTTGCAGTTGCAGGCAAAGTGTGTGTTAAGGGCCTTTATTCAGTATTGTTTTAATAATCAGGAGTTGATTCTAATTAGGATAAGACTGAAGGGAATCCTCTAGAGGCATGGAGTAGTCTATATGGGCAAGGGATATTTTGGCTGAGGTGCATTCCAAATGTGTTTTCAACTATTAGACCATATTTCTACATACCACACACAGAGCATGTGTTATTTATATGAAAGGTGCTGGTGGCTTTACCAAACGTAGTATTTTAAAAGCAAGAGTGCACTGGAATAGCTAAGTCTCTGCACGTAATCACAAGGTAAATGACAATTGCGTGCATTTTCATATGTCTGGATTTAGTCTATAGTTTAACCTAAAGACAAGACCCAGCCAATGAGTAGAAAAGCTGTAGTGGAGCTTGACTGTTTCCAGTTAGACTAATTTTTAAGTGTAATTTTAAGTGATTTGGGATGTAGCTCTGAGATACAAGGAAAAGGTGATGCCAGTGTGGATGATTCTGTAAACTGAAGAGCTTTTTTTGAAACTAATCTTTGGCAAAAATACAGTCTTGCTGTTGAGAGATGGTTTCTATCCATACTAATTTTTCATGTTCATTTGTTGATGAAGAGACCAAATGATTGACTATGTGGTGGAGAGCTAAACAGCAAAAAATACTTGTTTGCGTATAAATATCTGCTTGCTTTTGAGATTATAGAGCAAATTTTTGCAGATGCTACTGGTTTAAGAATGAAACTTCATTGCAGATCTACATCTCCTTACTTTAAAATCTGAACATAGTTGAGAAAACACTTAAAAAGGAATTAACATTTCAGTTGAAGTTACAAACGTAATTTCCATCCTGTCACATTTTGGTGACCTTTTGTGACAGCTTGTCTCTATTGGAGGAGTGCATTCTTACTTGCTGATTAAAGATGTCATTTGAAACCATTTTATTACCAGCAATAGTGAAATTAATCTTGACACTCAGAGACACTAGAAAAATAATTGCTGATTCACTGCATTAACTGTGTGTGTGAGAAATGTGCAGTCAAGATGAGAATAAGTGTGCGCTGGTAAAAAAAATATATTAAAATACAGAGTATTCTCATGAATGTAGCTGAGATCGATCTTAAACTTTTCTTTATCCAAGATAATGTAAGTAATGGTTTGAAAATTTTAAAGGAGAGGTATTGTAGAACAGCAATGCAGTTGGTTTCCAGAGATACTGAGTTTGGCATATTCGGTGAGAAGTATATAACTTCTTTCAGTGCATGTAGCTGAAGTCTTCCAGAGTTGGAATTACTGTTATGCTCTGGATTGAGGTACCTGTTAAGGAACGTGAAGAATGGCTTTGTTTGGCCTCACCAAACTAAAGTGTATTCTCTACCTAAATTACAAAACAAAACCTTACAATTATCCAGAGCCCTTTGGAGAGTGAGAACAAAGATTATTGGGTATGGTAGTGCTTTTTGTTATGTCCTGCTTAGCTGGTTTATGTTCAGTCTGATAACTAGTGGCTGAGATTTTGGGCAACACTAGGAAATTAAAAGGAATGATTTCACTGTTGTGCCGTTGCACTGTGTGCAGAAGCACATAGTGTAATCAGGTTGCAAGTCTGGATGATAGGGAGAAAAATGTTAAAACGAAGGCGAACATTTGCTGTCTCTCTGAGTTTAGATTGCAGAAGTATGTAAATCCGTATGTATGTTTTTTTAATAGCTGTTCTGGCATGTGATTTATGTTGTAAATCTCCACATTATCCAGAATAATAGGGATTCTGGGATTCTTAAGTCTGGGGATTTGAAATGGCGTTGCTCTCGGAGCTGTGCAAGGCAGATGTAGCCAGAGAGCCGTGCTCAGGGTTGGTGCAGCCAGGAGCGGATGGCCGTGAGCTGCAGCATGCTGCACACCCTGTGCGGGGCACGGCAGAGTCGAGCCTGGCTCAGTGCGTTTGGTCACAACACACACAAGCTCTTAGCCAGGGAGAATCGGTGGGCTTTTTCATGTGAATACCTGGCTGTGCTTTGGGAGAGCCTAGGGAGGGAAAGAGGATCTCTTCTTCCTTGCTCGTCACCTCTTTTCTAGCTAGCAGTCTGATCTTGCTTTCAGGGAAGACTGGGACTACTTTCCTTGCTCTCCTCCCTGCAAAACTGTCTTCCACACAGTCTTCTCTCCTTGATCTCTTTGTCTGGCACAGTGCCCTCACATTCGATAACCAGCCCACCTGAGCTGACTGTATGTTTTGCTGCATGGTGACTGATAGCAATAAAAAGCACTTAAGGTATTCATGAGCTTAGCTCATTGCATGAGTCTTCACTTTTACAGTCTGTCTCTGAGTCTCTGAACCTGCAGTTTCGTGTGTAAGCAAAATTCTTCACAGACTAGGACACTGTTGCCTTCAGTGGCATGTTGTGGGGGAAGTATACTTGATCTTAATGTAATCTTACATTCCTTTTTTTAATGAAGTAATTAAATGGTTATATTGTACTTCTGTGGTCATAGATGTATGAAGGTAATGATGCTTGCTGCAGTGAATTCATGGGGGGTTTTATTTTGGTTCAGATATTTTTTCCAAGGTCAGTGTTACAAACATTTTCACTTTTCTGGCAGGAAAACTGAAGATATGGACTGTGCCTTTAAAGACACAGCCTTTAAAGTTTGAGAACTTTCGTGTAAAGTGAGTAGGAAAACAATTTATTAGTTTTTATTTTAAAGAGAGTGAAAAGTACCTGCACATCAAAGATCAGCAGGACTGACTTTGCCCTGGATGTGGTCATCCCTCCCCCAAGCTTAATCAGTGTAACCCCCTGAAGCCATTTTTTTTGGAGCAGCCCATTCTTCCTTCGAAAGCTGTTTTCTAATCAGTGTCCTTCAATATGTGCTCAAGAGGCTGAGGGGCTCAGACGTGATCTTGCTTTGTAGGAAGCCTAACTCCATTCCCAGGTTCATTAAGAATTGCTTTCCTTACCTGTGGCTTCTAATCTGTTTAACAGGAAATAGCTTCTTATCATCTTGAATGAGTATCAGTGGCCGGTACTTGTTGCAATGACTGAACTTTGCTTTCCGAAGTACCTTGCTGAGTTCAGGGTTGTGTGGAAGACGGCAGAAAAATTGCCCTGCCTGTCCTATTCTTGGGGAAAAAAAGAAAATTTTCCAGCCAGCAGCATGCCCAGGATGCCCTGCAGGATTTGGATCCTCTCTGGTTAAAGGGAGGAGAGCTATTGCTTTGCCATGGAATGACACCATTTCTTCCCATAAGTATATGGGAGCTGGTAGTTTTTCTTTCCTGCAGACCAACTCAAAGCCCAGGTTAGCCCTTTTGCACTTGCAAGCCTGGGAAGAAACTGAACTTGCTGCAGGTCTGGACAAGAAGGAGGCTTGAATTCAGAGCCCTGTTTTCCCCCATTAAACCAGCTTTTTTCATCCCTGACAGCTAAGGATGAATAAGGTGGTGTTTTTAGTCACATCCAATGCATTTGATTGCTGTGGACAGGAGTACATTTGTCTTAATTTTCCTCAGAAATCCATAGTGTGCATGTTTAATACCATATAAAGACTTCACGGAGTGTGATTCCTTGCCCCTTTCTAAGCATGTGGTAAGATTTTCCTGATAAAGCCCTGATTGTCTTGGGCTCTGCCAATCTCTTGAGGTAGGTGTTAGGGCAAAGGTAGCATTTCATAAGAGTATCTGGTGAGATTGTAAATTAAGGCTTTATGCCACATAATTGCAATATCAGAGAGGGGGAGAAAAGGAGGTAGAGAAACTTGTCACCAACATGCGGAATTGAAAAAGGAAACTATATGGCAGATCCTGGGCTTTTAGGAGTCTGTCTTGTTTGCTGTGTTCTTAGATGGTCAGCAAGTTCTGAACTTTCTTTCCAAAATTAGAAAGCCTCTGCTTTCTGGAGGTGCTGAATACTTCTGAAATCTGGGACATACAAATTTACAGTCTTTGCAGCTCAGTTGTGCGGGTAGTTTTTGTAGCCAAGTAAGAGCAACTGCTGCAGTGGGAATGCGTGGTGCTCACCCTTTTCTGCCCTTCTGTCAATCCTCAACTTCAAAGACTAATTGAGATTCCTCATGAAGATGTTTAAGATGGTGGTTTAAGTAGCTTTGGCTATTAGACTCCCAAGAAATTTTAATAGTTTTTCAATTGCCTTAGTTACGTATTCTTGATGGAGGATATATAGTGATATGGAGACATTGTAGTAGTCTCACCTACTGGCTACAAACTATTTTTATTCTGATCTTCAGATATTATAGCCACTATGTGTGGTATCAGTAAGTAAAAATGCTTTGTCCTGAAAAGGGGCCCCTGTATCCAGTGTCCTTTAACATTAAGAGCAGACTTTTTAAATGGAAGACTGGAAGTCTTGCACTAATTGCCATTTCCATTAATTCAAAATATGTTTTTATTTGCCAGGAGTGTGTTTCTTGTAGAGTAGTTTAATTTTTCCCTGTTAGAGGCAGAAGACAAGTTGAGAGGTAACAAGGATTTGACTGGAACATGGTGAAATCATCAGCTGCATGTTTGGGTTAAGGTTGATCCCCTTTAAGTCAGTGAAACCTGGTGAGTGGCACTGCTCATACTGTCACAGTGTGTTTCCTGAAGTTTGTTGTACACTTGCTCTGTATTTCCAAGTAATTTAATAACCTGGACCTGTTACTGCATGGTTTTCTCTTAAAGTTATCAGCACTGTCCCAGGTTTCAAGCAAATCTGACAGTGTTCTTGAGTACCATCTGTTCTCTGGTGTTTACCTGTGATTGAGTTGGGTGGGTGTTATCAGTGGCCATATATTTGACTGGAGCTGAGCACAGATTTTGAAGTGTGCTCTCTCTTAAGTGGAATTACCACTTGTGAAGTATAGACTCGACATACCCTTTACTGAAAAGTTTACTGGGGATTTCACTGTACAGCCTGACATGTCTGCAGATACCTGAGATACTGTTTAAGATAACACAGATGTGACAAGAGCCACAGCCTCCTTTTACGGCATAAGGCAAATTTCAATAGCACTTAAAAAAAAACAAACAACCAAACCTTTTTGTTCATGTTTGTTTCATTTACCTGCTGCTTTTTGCCTGTGCAACAGATACAAGTATCCATGTGCTTTTCCCTTTTATAGATGACTTTAATGAAATGTTAACATGCCACCTAAAGGAGATTAAAGTGCCTGCAAATTTTATGTTAGTTACAGGGATGCTTCTCGAGTTCTAGCAATGTTTTTTTCCTTATGTTTTCCATTTTTTCAGCATGAAGCTAAAATATTTTTTTCCCCCCATCTCTTTTTAACAGAACTTTCTGCAGAAGCTAAAGCAGCATTACTTGAATTTGAAGAGAGGGAAAGGCAGCTTAAACAGGGACGATACGGCTCAAGGAGAGGAGGGCGAAGAGGAGGCTCAATTATGTGCCATGGAATGGGAGAACAAAGGAGAGACCATAACGATAGGGGAAGAATGAAGGATCACAGGCCTGCGCTGCTGCCAAACCAGCCATCAACAATGGTACCTTTTAATCCTTAGTATTCTTTGAACATACTTTCATGAAATTAGGGCGAAATGCATTCTAAGTCATGAATCTTTATGAAGATGGAATATATATTCCAGTGTACACTTTTTGCGTTTTGAAGGTACTGTTAGGCAAGATGGGCTTTGCGTAACATGTTGATTGTGAAAGTATAAGCTTAGTCCTGTTATCCATCTCAATTTGAGGAATCTCAAGGCCTCCAAATGAAAAGTGGATTACGACTTACACAATGCAATCAGGCTTACCTACTGGTTTGCATAAGGATGGAGGAAAAAGTTAATTCCTCTGAGAAGTCCTCTACGTGCAGTGTGGAAACATGTTCACTCCCACATTACTGATAGTAATTTAGTTTTCTGTAAAATATTTCTTGGCTTTGTTAAGACTAATATTTTTGCTGATAATTCTAATATAATCTATTTGTATACCTGCCATGCTACTGTGGAGGTGCGTAAAACCCAAGGAAAGTAATCACCACTAGATAAATTCGGATCTTGGGATTTCAGATGAAATTTAACTTTGTTACTTCCCCCCCCCCGGGTGCTTTGTATCACAAACTAAAGATGTTACTTTTCCCATCCACAAACAAAAAGTAAGTGTGTGATGAAGAGGTAGCCCACACTCATTTTTAGCTCTCATAAAATGTACTGGAAGCTGAGATTGTAGAACAAAGCCTGTGTGTGTCTTTGCAGGACAAGGTCATCTGCGTTAAAGGGGATTTTTTTCCCAACAGCAGTAACTCTAGGTGCTGATCGCTAACAGGAGTTGGTGGATATCTCAGCGGTTGAGAACTCTGCAGTAGAATATTTCATGCTTTTAAAACAGTGAAGGTGGAATCATTTTTTTTCTGTATTGCTGCAGTCTTCCCTAGTTATTTTAAGCTTAAGTGTTGTAAACATGTTGTGCTCATCACAAGATCTTCCTGTGCACACTTTGTAGCTGCTTTGCTTTATGTATACGGCTGCTGGAAAAAATGATGTGTCACATCTTTGTTACTAGAAGGTTGCCTATTTGGAACTCTTCTTGCACTTCCCATTCGGAAGATCCTAGACTAGGACTTATATCTACTATCAGTGAGTTCAGAAGCAGAAGAATGTCTCTGAAGAGAAACATAATTTTTTTTTTGTTTTTGCTATCAACTGATTTTGGCCATTTGTGTTTGAGACTGTTGAGCAGCAAGAGACTTTCTTATGTTATGAAAGGTACCTTTGAAAAGTATCTTTAAAGTAGTTTTTTTCTTCAAGCAGTATGTATAGATGAGCTGCACTGATATCTTAAGAATTTAGCTTAATTTGTGTTTTGACTTTTGTTGCTACTCTTATGTCTGTTTTCTCAGCAAGGCTCTTGTATGCATGAGACAAGAGGTAGTGGATTTGTTTTGATACTAAGAGTCAGATTTCTGGTGCTCATCACATACGCCTTGTTGCAGCTGATGAATTTCCAGTGACAGATGCAGAACCCTACATGTAAAACTAGACAGTTCCACTGTTAAAAACAAGTGAATGAAAGTCTGCGTTCCCTGTGTGCTTCCTTGCTCTTTGCAGTCCTCTCCTTCACATGAGTGTCTTCGATTGTTTCTTTGCGTTCCTGTGCTGATGATTCTTAACAGTTCCAGTTGATGATGTGGGAAAAGTTTTTCTGTTCATGTTTGGCCTTGATTGTTCTTCGAAGGTGTCTTGGTTTTGTGCTGGTTTATGTCAGGATATTTTAACTTTAAAGCCTATTGACTTTATTCTTTTGTCTGACTTTAGACTCATTCACAGAGGTTAATTCCAACACACCAGCAACCTGTTAGGAGTCTGTTCCAGCAGCACCAACAGCAGCAGCAGCACCAACAGCAGCAGCAACAACAACAACAACAACAACAGCAGCAGCACCAACAGCAGCAGCAGCAACAGTTACAATCTCTGCTTCCTTTACAGCATCAGCATCATTCTTCTCCTCCTCCAGGGCTACATATGCCCCCTCAGATAGAAACGCCTAGAATAATGATGACTCCACCTCCAGTGACACCTCAGCAACCGAAGAACATACACATAAATCCACATTTCAAGGGGACAGTAGTGACACCTGTACAAGGTGAGCTTTCTGAATACCTCCCTAGTCATGCGAGTGTGGCTCATCTTATTCTTTGCCAGAGATGCAACAGTTTGTGTGTTTATCACTTCACGGAAATGTGCTTCAGGCTGATATTTTTTCCTTAAGCTCAAAACAAATGTTTTGCCTAAAGTAAGACATAATGTTGTTGGACTGTGGCCAGCTGAACTAGTAAAGCCTTTTCAGCTTGTTTATCATCTTTGTTACTATACTGTAAAGCCTGCAAAGAGCAGTAAAAATGAAAACTGAAAAGAGAATATGCTTTTTAAAATTAGCAAACGTCACTTTTCAAAACTAGGTAAGTACTGCAGTTTATGATTTCCCACATTGTTCCAAGCTGCAGCCAAGCATACACAAAATGACCACCCACCTGTTTCAGTGAGAGTACGCTGAGGCACTCCTTGCACTGTAGTTGCTCTGTGAAAGGTATCAGCTGCTGTCCTTACTTGACAAGATACATGCCTTCGGTTCTCCTTGCAGTGCCACATTTGTGACTGTGATTCATGGCCTGCAAGTATGCTTTTTCCATAACTTAACACAAGCATTCTTTGGGCCACGCTTTTTAATGCAACTCTCAGCAGCGCTGTTAACATTACTACTTATTTGGGAAGTGTTTAATCCCTAAGAGGATTTAAAACAAAAAAAGACACCTATATAGCTCTGATTTGTGATTCTGTTGGGACTAGAAAAAGTAAGGAAATACATATAGATTTATACATATTTACCATTGGGTTTTCTGTATCTCCCCCCCCATTCAAATCAGCAGAACTCTGTGCCAGTGCTATGTTTGCTTCATGTATTTGACCAATGAAAGGTAGGAAATTGGCAGTGTAGGATACTGCCTGTTGATAGAGATCTATTAGATTTCTAAACAGATGGCTTCATGTTAGCTGCATTGTAGAGATTATTTTGCTTTTTCCTGTCTAATAGAATCAGTGCTTCCCACCAAATTATGCATCAGGACAGATTATCTGGAAGCAGTCCAAAAGGTCCTTTAGTCTTGGATATATGCCTTCTCTGTGTTTTCCTCTGTGTTTTCCTAACATTTACAAAGCAGCAGTTACTGTTCTGTATAAAGTAAAAATTGTTTTTAGGCTATTCTAGATCCCTCTCCTCTCTCCCCTTGAAACAGTTAACAAATCTTCTGCATCTAGGTGAACAAGTTTCCTCCTAATGCCAGCAATGTCAGCTGAGGATTTTTGCTTTTGCCTCGTGTCAAAAGTATACCAGTGTCAAAAGTATACCAGTGTATCTCCTTTCTTTTGTCTAGATTTTTTTTTTTTCACATTATGAGGTGGCTTCAGGCTTGTCTCGGCCTTACCACTACATCTGTGGCACCATGGATATTCCAGGAGCCTTGCTTTATCTTGGCTTGCATGATCTTTTTTTCTGTCACTACTTGCAGATCCTCATTTTAACAAAGTTGTGTAGCTCCTGCATGTTAGATATTCAATACTGGATTTTTAATCGGTTTTTTAGATCTTATACCTGCTAAGTTTGTGTGCACATACATTTCTTAACTGGTGAAAGTCTAGTCGTCCTCTCAGAATGAACAGGCCTGGAGAATGAGTGATCCATTTTTGAATGGTGCAAGACCTGTACTTCAGTGAGGAAGATCTTTGCTATGTGTATCGATGGCAGCTGGTTCTATGAAATACCTTTGCTGTCTGTTTTACTGAAGGAATCCTCAGCAAGACTACTGAATATTTCTGCTGATAGATGTGCAGCATACTATTAAAAGCAGTCTTTTAAATCACTGTAGAATTTTAATCTTCTTGATTAGAGAGCGTGTTTAGGAAGCTGAGTCTTCTGCAGTGGCGGAGAGTGGTGGCCATCTCAGTCTGCAGCAGTGCAGTTATGTTACATGAAAATATACATTTGCACACCTAAGGAAAATGTGTAGGAAATCAGTAGCCTTGTTCAGGAAAGATAAGCATGATTCTAAAATCTTCAGTTTGCATTGACGTTTGCATATTAAGATGAATTTTTAAAGCAGTCACTGCAGGCAAATGGTAGACAGAAATTCCAGTGTAGGGAGAGCTGTTCCGAACTTCCTCTCAAGGAGCCCTCTGCAGTTTAGTCTGTCTGCCTGAGGCCCCTGTAGGGAGAGACTGGTGGTTGACAACATCAGCGTGTGTGTTTCACATGCAGAGTCATTTATTTTGGGGTAGCAGGATGTATGAAAGATCAGATTGATTTCGTGTTCTTGATGTCCTGCCCCTTCTTGGCTGTATATATTTCTGGGAAGAGGGTTTTTACACACTGGAGAATAGTCAGGTAGGTGCAAAGTTTATTGGGATTCTGTTGTCGAAAATGTGATGCCTGGAAGCTAAAAATGCCACGTCTGGAAGTGCATGATATGCACACTTAGATTCTGGTAATTTTAATGGTGTGCTGTCATGTTTTAGTGTAGGCTGGCATTTTTTTCCTCTCTAATTTTATGGCAGGATTAAGCTCACATACGTCTAATTGTCAGCACCAGGGACAGTTTTTCTAACTGCAAATCTTAGAAATATACATTCTCAACATCATTTTGGTGTGTTAGCCTTGAAATGCATCGAGTATCGGTGTTTTCTAAAACAGACTCAAACCTCCTGTAATTTTTTATGAAATTTTCGTGGTAATAAAGCAGCATGTGTAAGAGCTCTGGTAGCCAGCTACTTCAGCCTGGAAGTGAGTTGAAGCACTCTTGAAGAATCCTGTCATTGTCTTACTCCTTTGATGTCTCAAAGACAAATCTCTTACAGTGGCTGCCATCTCCCTGCCCAGCCTTGAATCTTGGTTCAAAAAAATAGTTACTTTCAAGTCAGTTTTGTTTCAAACAGTTTTCTATTTTTAATCTTTGAAGCTTCATGAGTGATTAAGGAGGACTCTATCAAAACCCCTCAAACGGTTGTGGGGCCTCTGCGCATACGTGCTGCAGATACGTCAGTCGACGTTCAGCTGTGCCTTTTGTGCTGTGTGAATCCCATGTCTTTTAGTTCCTTGCTTGTCATATAGTTATCTCTCTTCTTTGTGTCCTGTTGTAAGTAGTAATTTTTGGCTGAATGCATGTCCAAATTTGAATATGGTCAACTTACAAATACTGGAGGACTGTACATAGACGTACTGCGAAATACTATTTCAACCTGTGATAAAGGTATTTAATTTATTTTTCCCTTAATGTTTATACCACAGATAACTATTTCAAGGATACTGTGGTGCTGCCAAAATTGACATGAACTAATAGGCAGTTTATGGCAGCTCGGTAGATTAGTATGCCATTTACCTTTTTAAAAACTGTTTTGGTGTCTTGGGAAAAATTACATTCTAATTCTCTTAAATAATCACTATGGGAATTGCTTCTTCATCTTTTCAGGTATAGTATTGGAATTTATAGCTAAAAGCAATTTAATCTTACAATATTGTCTAACAACATGCTGTGTATTATTTTTTGAAACATACTTTTCAAACCTATGGAAGATTTGACATCGGGAAAATGAAAGCTTATTTGAGACTTCTTTGCTGCTTCAGCAAGTGTCCAAGGATTGAAAGGGCACAGAGTTTGAACTATCTTTCATGAGTATTAAATTCATTTGCTTAAAATATATAAATATATATCTCTCTCTATGCTACTGCCAGAGGCAGGATACCGAAATAGACACAAGTGCCCTGTTCAGTTGACATTTCTCTGCATTTCTCACCTTATGCGATTTTTCTCAGTGCCTCTCTGACTTGTAATACCTGAGCTATTTTAGTCCTATGTCTGTCAAGAGCACCCTGTCAGTTTTTTCCAGGTGGCCATGGCTGGTTGATATTGACAGATGTTCATTAGATGCCGAGATGAGACTGTTCAACTAACGTGCTTGTGTAACCTGATCCAAAGTTTGCGCGCAGTCCTTTGGCGCGGAAGGGCTGGTGCAATTAGTTTACCCCATCAGTACCTGAACTAGTAAACCACAACTGCTTAACGAAAGTGGATAGAAGGCAGACATGGGCATGAACTAAAAATAACCACTAAGGCATTAGTTCTTGTGCCTCAGTTACCAAGGAAAAAGGGATTTTTGAGGCATCTTAGCAAACTCTGTTGGGAAATGCAGGTAGTTTAATGGAGAAGTTGGATGCATTTCTTAATATCTTTCCTGCTCTGAAGTGTAATACAGTAGTTGTCTACAAAGTCAGTGTTTAACCCTGTGTGCGAAACATTTTCCTGTCACTCTCTGAAATGCTAAAAACAACTTGAAGAAAAATAAACTTACTAGAAGTTTTTAGTAGATGAGCAAACAGGTTCAGTGGTGTTTGAATGCTTTATTGAATTTCTCTAAGCCTTGTATTTAACATTGAAACATTTGTACTTTTAAGCACTAGACAACTCGGAGAGGGAAGAAAAACTGCACTGAAAAATGGGAAATCTGTCATTACACTTCGTACTGGGGATTCAAATACAGATTCAGTCCCCAGGGTGATCCAGCAGTAGATGCTTTGTGCATTATGCCATAACATTAAGTGAATGTTTTGGGAAATATTTTTTGAGACTAGTCTTTTGAAGGGCAGTTGTATGGATAAGTCATCTATGTTAATCCCCCTGAAATGCTAAGTTTGGAGGTTATTTTTCAGGAAAAGGATCTCCTAGTTCTGCTTGGTGTCTCTTTATCAAATAGCAGCCTTTCATGAGATCGGCAGTTCTGATGACACGAATTGTGATCACAGTTCCATGTACCAGTACGGCGGCAAGGCCAGATAAGCAGGTTTTGCTTGCTGTTAATTGCCGCTGTCTTGCCTTATTTTACCCTCCTGTGAGCTGTGATTTATACCAGATAGTCTCTCCTGCCCATGCTTGCTGTGGGAGGTTGGTGGTGAGACTGGGAGATACATAGGAAATCTTGAGGGGCGTGAAGCTGAGAAGGCAAATTAATCATGTATCCTTCTGTTTGAGACATAAAATTATTGTTGGAGTCTCTGTCAGCTTTGTTCAAGAGACATCTTTGGCTGAATAAGTATTCTAGTTTTCCTTCCTGTAAGAAGGAGCAATTTAATTCTGGAAAATGCGGAATTAAATTATGTAAATTAACTAGGAGAATCCTAATTGCCCTGTTGCATGTTGTAGGGGAGGGAATGGTTGCTTGAAGTTAATTGTAGGAACTGTGACATGTGAGGGTAAGTGTTGCAGATTTTAATCATGGCTTCTTACTGCAACTGCTTTTGGAAATAACAGCAACAACTGTTAGGTAAAACAAATGGTGTTAAAAGGTGCTTCTTGTTTCAGTGCCCTTGCTGCCAGTTCCAGCCCAGCCCAGACCTGCTGTAGGACCCCAGAGATTTCCTGTGAGTAGCAGCTGTTTCTTCTTCTCTGATATGGATAAGCATACATTTGCAAGGAAATATTAATATAGCAAATAAAAGCTGTTCTAGTGAAATATAATTTTAAGGATTTGTAAATATTGACAATACACTCTGCAGTTGAAAATGTTTGTTAAAAGCTTAAGGTCAATGGATTTTTGAGGGTAGAATTAATTCTGTTTAACTGTAAAATTGTTGAACCAGTCTCTCCAGTGGGAGAGGCATGAATGCACCTTGTCTTAAAGAATATGGGCTTCATTTTATTACTTGAATTCTATTTATACAAAAAGAGCCGTGTTTTATTTGAAATAATAAAATGTTATTTGAAATAATCCCTAGGCTTAAAAAGCAGTAATATATATTTATTGCAAAAATCAGCAATCATTTTGATCGTTACTTCAGGCATTTAAATGCTCTCATGTTTTTACATAAAAAATGGGAATGGCATTGCAGGACCTTGCTTTCTCTTATGTTTCTAACTTCTAAAACAAGGCCTTCAGCTGCTTCATTAGGTTAATTTGACTTGATAATTTTTTTCAGTTCTGTGAGTGGAGTGCACACTTCTAGACCTTTTCTTATCATTTCAGAGTTCTCTTCTAAATTTTTAGTTCAAGTGGTTTGATAAGTATCAAAAGAAGCAAAAGACACAATAGTTCATTCAATATTGCTGTAAATATTTTAAAGACCCATATATTATGTTTTCCAAATACATAAAACAAAAATTATCCTCTGTTAATGTGTACAGTATCGAAGGAGGAAAATAGATGTTTGTGAATGTCTGTGTAGTATCACACAGTAAATAACTTGCATAGAGATCAGATGTATTTGAAAGAAGCAGATTTCAGAAACCTGCTGTGACTTTTGATTGCCATGTGCATACCTGGTTGTTTCTGATGGAGAATATTTTTCATACAGGACATCTAGTTGAGGAATTGTGATGTCCATATGTTGTACAGTAACTCGAGTTTTTAAATTGCCATGTTTCTTCTGTGAAGTATAAAAAGATTTAGCATTACAATCGCAGTTTAGTTAAGTAAATTCATGTCACGTAATTTCATCATCAACACTTCAACTAGAGATTTTTCTACTAAAAAATATTGCGGTTTTCAGAGAAGTAGTTTTCTGCAACAGCCTTTAGCATTATGTGGAGACCTTCTTAACATTTTTAAAGTAATTCTACTTGGGTTTTTTATTAAAACAAGGATCTTGCATTTGTTTTCCTTTGATACTACGTTGCTTTGCCAATAAACACAATTTGGGATGGAAAAGAAATTGGAGGACAAGGAATATCTGTAAAGGCATTGTAATTGACATCTTTGATGTGTGTTTACATCATTGTGGGAAAAATTGGAAATTAGTTTTTTATAAATTGACTGTGAAATTGGATTTTAATTCTGTTCACTTTTGGTTTTTGCAAGTTGAGAAGTGTTGCAAACCTAGCTAATCTTGTATGCAACAGTTTTTAAAATGCAGTAAAGTAGATTTAACAGTTTTGGTAGGACTCTTGCTCCTTTTGCCTGAAGGAAAATACTTGATATGCTTGCTGCCTTTTTATGTAAGCAATGCACTAGCAAAGACTCAGTGTAGTTCTTTTTTCATAAACGGGGGCAGGGACTATCTTAACTAAGAGGATCCAATACAGTGATTTGGTTGCTGTGAGTGGATTTTTTTTTTTCCTTCTGCTGCAGCTAGTAATCTGCTATATGACCCTGAGAAAGTTACTTAATCTTTCCATGACTCACTGAGTTATAAAATGGGTATAATATGGACTTTCCTTATGAAGTACTTTATAAATTTTGCATAGGTTAACAGTCACACTAGGATTAGGAATGAAGTGTCACTGTGTACATATCTCATGTTTGTTTTATTAAATGTAGTATGTTAGCTCTTGAGCTGAAGTCAAATTTACTTTCTGACTTGAATGTTTTATCTTGCAGAACTACTGTTTTTGCTCTGTTGCATGTCAAATGCTTTTATGCTATTATAATTCACTTGTTTATGTATAAATGTTGACTTATAGCAGTATAGCAATGGTTAGACAGCTTTGCTGACAAGCTGTTTGAAAAAGATCAAAGTATTCCAGACTGTAGTTCATTCATCCTTTTCCTCATTGTAGACAGAATCCTTGGATATCCAGTGAGTTGAATTTGCTGCTCTTTTTAGGATTGCCTAATCAAAGGAAAATCATAAACTGATTTTTCTGGTTGCTTTGTTTCCAAAAAACTCTCAATTTAGAATTAAATATTTGTAGTCTGCTTTCCCCTTTAACTTTGAACTGGACATTTTATTTTGATTAATGTAGGAGAGGTAGAAACATTAAAGGTAATGAAATTCTTGCAAGGGAGAGACCTAAAAGGGGCTAGTGCCCTAACAGAAGAAAGAATTGCTGCTGAGTTCCTGTCTTTTCTAGGAGAGAAACCTCTCAGCACAGAGTCTGTGTGTGCTCCAAACACAGGAAAAGCTTCAATCAGAGCTAATCAATTGCAAGCCATAAGTCCATTGGAAACCAGGTGTTATTAATTTAGGGCTAATGAAGATACTTGTAACCATGTAATGGTTAATTCTTACAACCTTTTGCAGAAGGACGTAATTGAAGAGTTGAACAAAGTTGTGATGAGTATGTTAGCATATTGGTTTGAGTTCTAAATTATAAGAAATAATGTGGTATTAAATTAGAGTAATGTTGATCAGAATTGAACCTGCTTGGAGATGGGGCTGATGAAATTCACTTAACCCTAGATCTAAATTTTAATATTTCAGGGTAAGGCTCATTGTTCAATTATTTCTTACTTAAAGCTTAACCACTTAAATGTTCAGAGGGGGAGTACTAGGAAGGACATAATTGAATTAATCTGTTTGTGTTCCCTACTTAAAGTTATTTTAACATTTACAGTAATCTTCAGTCAAGCAAGGAACTTGTCTGTCTCTTACTCTGTAAGCAGTCAAGGTGACAATGTGAATGATATTTGAGAGCTATGTTCAGCTGATTAGGACTGAATAAATGGTGGCTGTGAGGCGTGTTCGCAGCTGAGAAATGTGGTGAACTTGTGCTGGCTGGGACTTAGAGCCTTGAGTTTTGCAAAGGCTTCTATGCTTGTCTAAATTGCAAACTACTCCTCAGGTGGCTGTCGTCAATAGTAATTCAGTCTTCAAGCACAGTCAATACTAATATTTTTCCAGATATTTGAATTAATGTGAAACTGTACAAGTGCCAACTGTGTGTTTTCTTTACACTGTTTAAAGAACCGATTAAGCTAACTCTTTGGCCAGGTTCTTCTGGAGGTCTTGTTTTATCATCTGCCTTTGCTTTAAGTGGTTAAAATGCCTTTCTCTGAGTTGCCGTCTCAGTGTCATGGTTGGTATTTCACAACAGCAGTCTGCTTTGGGGACTGAAGGAAGGTGATGGAAGGCTTTATTCATAGACTAGTTGTATGGGTCCTCTGAATTTTTCATGTTTTCTGACCAAATTACTAGTTCTTGCAGGTGCAAGAATACAGGCATGGAGCTTGTGGCCTTTCTTGTTACACAAGAGGAGCCACTGTGATTTCTGTCCTATGCTGTTTATTATCTGGGCTAATTTCTCGTTCAGCTGCTGCATTTGGTGAAGAAGGATGGGATAAAACAAGGGAGGAATAAATTAAATAGTAAATGGAAGAGGTGTTTCTGAACACCTTGTATGTAGGCTGCTGCTAACTGAATATTGTAGAGGCTGGATCCTTACTTAACATGAAACTACCAAAATTGTTTGCTTTAAAGTGGGAATTTGCATGAGCTAATTGATGGTCCAAATCTTTTAATCTCTTGTGTGAGTCCACCAGCACATTCTGTGTCTGAAATATTTCAGTGTTTGCCCAAAGAAAAATTTGTGAAGAATTTTCGCTTCAAAGATTATTCAACTTAATAAACACTGAAGTAATTTTTGTATGCAGCACACTATTTTTTAAGGACATACAAAAGTGGAGCTAGGGGTGTCATGCCTGTTCTGGGTAGAACATGGCAGAGGAAACGTGTTCTTCACGGTCCAGACTCTTCAACCAGAGATAGTGAGGGGTACCTAGCATCTAAATTTAGGGCTGGAAATGGGGTATTTGGAGTGAATAAGTCATTGGGGAGAACCTGCCTCGCTGGTGAAGGCAGGAGAGAGGTTTGGGGTCGTTCCCCCTCTGTCCTGGATCCTCCTCTGAAACCGCTGCCGGGAGCAGAGCCTGTTAACACAGCTGTCTGCCTTTTGCCAGGAGAATTTTCATGAAATTGGGATAAATTCCAGTTTAGCTGCTGTCCTTAACCTGACACCCTGGGTGTGGTGTGAGCTGGGCAGGTGTCCATCCCACAGACAGGTTTTATTACCTTTGGTCAACTGGAGTTTCGGAGCTGCGCTTAGGAATAGTCTGAAGTGGCACGAAGCACAAGATGAACTGGCACTAGTGCCCTCCTGACAGATTTATGCTGGGAAGGCTTTGATGCTTTTTAATGCACAAAGCTTTTCTCCTTTGATAGGACACCTTGATGCACAGGGTACCTCTCAGGTAGCTGTTGAATTCAAGTCTGGAAGTTGAATTGTGTAACAAATTATGTTTTATTCAATATGAAAATAAGACTTTAATAGAGCAACTTGTCCTCAGGCCCTTGTGAATATTCTACACCGCATGTCTGTTCAGCTCCCAGGGGAGTTTGATGTGATTTGGGTTTGGAACTTACCTTACAATTTGCTTTCAAAATCATCTTTATCCCAAAAGAATACTTGATAATTTTTTTCCCACTTAAACTGCAGAAACCTTAGTAAACTTTCTTTATATCCCCATTCAACGTGCTTCTGCTTGATCTCCAGGATGTCAGGTGTTGTCTTAAATAGATGCTGTGAAAGGCAGTTTAGTAGTTTTGATTCAGTTTTTTCACCTTTGCTGAAAGCTCTGGTTTGACGAATTGTGAGCTTTCAGGTGTTGTCTGAAATCCAGAGACTGCTTTTAAACACTTCTTTGTGCTTT